GAAGGTTTCGATTACTGCAAAAAAATCTCACCTTTCCACCGAGTGCAGTCACCTTCTTGTTCTCCAATGCTTTCTTATCCTTCCATGTCATATGCGAAGAGCCTTAACACAACAACAAGTTCAGCTTAACATAAAACTTGCATGATCACAATACAATGGCGATCAAAAGGAGAGAGAAAAAGAGTGTTTACCAAAAAGTTCAACATCTTTCATAATCTTCCTAAAGCTGAGGTCTTGATCAATAGAACCCATGCTTTCCTTTTTCTTCTCCATTGGCTTGCGATTATACATTCTGATTTTCAATTTTTCTGAGACAAAACAATCAGGCGAGGTTCAGACAAAGAGCTTTCTATATCTTCAATTCGTTGACCTAATCGAATTTCGATTTCAGATTCCAAATCATCTAGGTCTGTAACAAATAGCTATATCAATCCGATTACCTAATTCCTCCAAAGACTAAGTACTTTAGAAATCGAATACGAACCTGAAACCTGAGGGATATATGCAAAATCGAAGAAGCTTGATAGGGAGAGTGGCGCAGAGTGATTGATGAAAAGAGAAAAATCGAAAAGGGGTTTAGGGTTTCAATGGCGGAGAGGGAAGGCTTTGTTCTTCTTTGATTTTTTTTTGTTATTTTGGCAGAAGTAAAATCTATTGGGCTTGGTGGGCTTTTCCCTTAAAAACATTGGTATTCATAACGTTTTCCAACTATATATGTTTTTATCACTTTATCTTTTCTTTTCCATGATTTATTAATGATTTATTTTATCTTAATACTCCCTCTGTATCATAAAAAATAATTTTTTGAGATTTTATTTTTGTATCAAAAAGATTGATTTTCTGTAAATTTTTATCAATTAATGTTAATAAATTGTGAATTTCAAGAATCATTAATTGAGAATTTTAAAATTTGATGAATTACCTATTGGTTAATAATTATGAGAAATAGTTTAGTATTAATAAATAGTGCATTGATAACTAAACATTAAATGTTTTTCTTAATTGGTGTGAAAACTCTATATATTTTCAACTTTTTACATACACTATGTTTTCATATCATTCTCTTACAGTGTTACATGAAAAAGAAGAGAGAAGTAACTAGGAAGTAGTATTTATCAAATTTAAAGTCTTAGTTTTCCTATTTATTATGTAGTTGAAAAAAAAAAGTATTATGTAGTTGATTTTATTTTATTTATTTGATAAGAATGTACGTGAATTTTTGATGGGGAAATGAATACACACACATGATACATCGCATTGGTCTTCTTCTTTTTTTTTTTTTTTTTTTGTAGTCTTCCTATTCTTATTTTTTATATATTTAAATCGTTAATTTTGATGGGGAAAGGTACACACACGCGTGAATACATGATAGTATGATACAATGCATTGGTCGGAAATGGGGGAGTTATCAACCACTAAACAGAGTTTTATAACAAAAGTCCATTGTTGAGAAAAAACTGAGGAAAAAATGATTGATGGCTAATTAGTCAATTTAGTTTATGACCAGAGAAACAATAAAATGTAAAAGAAAACCAAGAAATGTGAACGTGGAATGAAAATAAATATACCGTTGCGTCTTCTTAATAGTTTTTTTTGATAACCCAGTATCCAGACCACACAGTGATCTGACTAGCCCACTGGGCCTAAGCCCGCGTCACAGGGATTTTTAAGCCTCCACTTAAGGGCCCCCTGATAAACTGGTGGTCTGGGGCGCCTGAGCAAGTCCGCAGGTAAATTCCCAGGTGGCCACAGGAGTGAGAGAGCGAAACTGCGTCTGGGGAGGATCGATCCCTGGCCTAGACCAACAGGGCGATCCTTCCAACCAAACGAGAACCACTCGCCCACCACCATGTGGTTTCTTAATAGTTTTCTAGTTTTAATTTATAAAGTCTCTTTGCTTTTGGACCAACTTCGCGTTACTCCACACCACGTGGCACGTACGTGAAACTTCACATGGACTTGTTCAAAATTCCATATTGTAAATTGAAATAGAGTAAATATAATGTTGATTATCATATCTAAGATAGTTGTAAATTAATTATGAGCTGAAAGTAAAAGTTTATAAATTGACTCTTCATACGACGTGCATTAATTTAATACTACTATGCAGTACATTCTTTTTTGGAATTCATTGTACATACTGTAATTTATAATAATAAATTAATTGACCAAAAATATGCATGGGAGTTGAAATGAAGGTGAGAGTTGGGTGAGAGAGATTAGGACATGCATTGATTTTGATAATTTTGACTAATAATTCTCTTTTGAGTGGTTGTTGGGCAGCCGCAATTTTGCTCAATGTTGTGATGTAGGAGGCATAAAGGCATACACACACACACATATTCCTCTTCCTCTCCTTTATTTATATATTTTGTCAAATATTTTTGTTTTCATATTATGTTCGTTATACGTCATCATTTATTCATGTATATTTAGGGAAATTTTCAATTTATATTGAGATATATTATCTCAATAACATACTATCTACATAAATTACCATTGTCAATTTGTCATGATTTATCGGAATTGTTAGTGAATTAGGAAATGATTTTAAAAATTTTAAATAGAAGAGATTATGTAATTAATATTTCTTTTCTGCCAACGAATAATTATGGCTAAAATTAAAGTAAGAAATAAATATCTACACATCAACAATCCGTCAAAAATAAATAATATAATATATAATAAAATACATATTGTCGTGTTCTCCGCATGGCGTAGGCTGTTTTGGTCCTTGTTCAAAAGTCGGCTGAAATCTCTCTAAGCTGACATTTGTATGCATTCACTTCAGTATATCACATGATTCACGTAAAAGGTGAAACTAAAAAGGAGTTGATTAATTTATTGGATTTCGATTAATATTTTGAACTAGTCACCGTTAATTCTTTTTGTTGTTGTAATTTTGGTATGATACCACTTTTGTAGAAGACAGCAAGATCAAGCGCAAGTTAGATTGAGTTTTTTTTTTAATCTTATTTATGATTATAAACCATAATATATACAGGGTATTTTAACAAAATATATATATATACAAATAATTTTAGGACGGTCCTGATTTTCTATACCAATACATGTGCGGATGTGCCTATGTATACAAATGTCACCTATGTATACATTATATACATTCATGAAAATCCTCTCCAGATATTTTTTTTGTACATTATGAATTTGTGATATCAATGCGAAATAGAAAGACAGGGGAAAAATTGAAATATCAACAAGAAAACGCACTCTTAGTACTAATTAGATGGTATATTTGGAACACTGTTAGAAACAAATGCACAAGCGAACAAAAAAAAAGTCACACCTATAATATAATGCAGTAAAAAAAAAAAAGTCACACCTATAAACTAAATTTTCAAAACTTTTTTGTATTAAAGACTAAAAAGTGGTCGGAGAATGTAGTCAAAGTACTGTAGATAAGGTTTCCACAATAACGGGAAACGGAAAAAGTTTAACTATACGTTATTGACTTTTCTAAGCTAAAACCTTCAATATAAGATTGAATCATCTAGGCTTTTTGGCAATCTCCATATTGATATATTTTTGGACGAGGAATCGTGTGGGTCTAACAAAGTAACAAGTAACGATGATCACTTTCTACAACTGTGTATATCTTCAAAGCTAACATTTTAGGTATGGGTCGGTTATGCGATCTAGTCACTTTTGTACATATATATTTGAGACTACGACGTCCCTATGTACATATACGGCTTGGATCTTGCATGCCATATATTTTCCCCTCATGTCACCCACAAAAATAGTGACGCTCGTATGGCTATCTTCACCCATTCACTTTTTTCATGACCGGAAGCTATTTAATCAGGACTTAGATTAATAGAATTTTCTGATGTATGATTGAATAATGTATAATTATTAATTAGTAGTGACATAATATAGAAAGCATATGATGAACTTTATGTAAGAGTTGAAGCTCCAAAAGAGGAATTGGTGATTATTCTCATATGAGATCAGTTGTTGGGCGTTTATATATCTTCAAATGATATTATTGTTGAAATCCGTTATTGAAATAAACATGTTTTTGGGTGCAAAACAATAAACATTATACTATAAAAAATTTGTGTATCTATAATAGAAAAGTTTGTTCAAAATCAAACTGAATTAGCTCATTTAATTAAATGAATCTTAAAATAAAATATACTTCTATGTCAATAAAAGTCGAACTAAAATGAACAATTCATAGTTTTGACAATACTAAAACAAGTAACACATTTCAACTATGACATTCGTTCCCTCCCTCCAGTCACATACTTTCTTTAAACTCTATCCTTTTTCACTTTAATATAAACCATTAATTAAGATTGAACCCAAAAACGTGAGCGTATTATTATTGCAGTCTTAAATTGATATATAATAGCATTATTCGAATGTTTATCGATCCTTATTCGATCATTTTATATAACTTATATATATATATATATATATATATATATTAACGTTAGCCTTTGCTTTTGTTTTAATGAAACAATGTTGCTAATTATATCAAAAAACCTTGATGCTTTTTATTGCAAAAAATAACGCGTCGATGGTGTTGTTTTCACAGTAACGAAGAAAGTAAGTACTATACGGTAAAATAATGGACGGCGCATGATGCGTGTTCTCATTTTGATTTTGGATTTTCAGATTTCACAAGTAACTGAATCTTTTAAAGCTTTTTTTTGCACAGTACAGTTCCAGTCAACTTCTTCAAACGGTCGGTGCTTACGTGGCACCATCATTGGGGGTATTCACAAATTTGGACGGAGATAGGGATATTTATGTCTTTTCACAAGTTAAGACAATTTATGCCTTTAGGAATTAGGAAGTTTTAGAAACACACATGCTCACGTCTCGTGCGACTAAATTTTATGACCACAAAACTAAAATTACCAAATTTTTGTTTTTTAAAACGGCATATATAAATTATACGAGCTTCAATACATTTTCGCTCTTTTAGAGCTGTCTTCTGCTTACTTTTTTCTAGCACTAAGTTAGAGATATGTAACGAAATTAATCTATTAACCAAATAAATCAAACCATTCCGGTTCATGATTTTCTTTCTTGGTTTACTGTTTCTTTGCACAAAGTTAAATTAGTTACGAATGTTAGATGAATCTTCATCTATGGAGAACTCTCCGAGCCGTCTCTCTGAATGGACACGTGGAGCTCACAAATCCGTCTACCAAATGTAAATACGTTTTCAGCTCGTGACACGTGGCCACATTGATGCTGTTCAAGTGCGGCGAGTCACGGCTGCTCAGCCTAAGCTCCTTACCGACCTCGGCGTAAACCCACGGCGTCTCCTCCACGCGTCTCTGTATCCAGCTCGGCATTATTGACGCCGTCGACATCTTAACGTTCTCTTGCTCTCTGTTTTCTAAAACGACTCCAGGAACTTTGGTGATAACGTCGTCGGAATTCACGATTCTTAGAACCTTCGTGCCTTGCTTCTCAAGTAGTTTCCGAAAGCATCTGTTTCCAACACGTGGACCTCCAAAAGATATTACGGTAACCATCGGCGCACGTTTAAAGGTCGTTTTGATATCGTAAGCCGCTAGTGTGGCGATCGCAGCTCCGAGGCTGTGGCCGGTTATCGTTACACTTAACGGCTCGTCGCCGTAAGATTGGAGTAGCCTTGAGATCTCTTCTCTTACCATGTCTCTCAAACTGTGAACCCCTGAAGTGTACAAGCTTAAAAAGCCGCTCTCGACCATGGGCCCAGAGTTAGACCCGTTTAGATTTGGTCCAGTAGGCCCATTAGGGAGATGAGTCAGCGTGGCGCGAAGGTTCTCTAACCATTCGAGACACGTGGCGGTTCCACGGAAGGAGATGACGACGTCTCTACGCCCAAGCCGTGAGATCTCTTCCTTGTCTTGGCAAACTGCCACGTAACCAATCCAGCTGGATTGTGTAGCCATCCAGCTTGGCGCTTTCTCAATCCAACGTGGCAAGTTAATACCTGACGTGGCACGAAGGTTCTTCGTTAGTCGATAACCGGAATTAGGTAAACCGGATCGGTCTAACAAAGTGCTCCTCGGAAACCGGCATGTCGCGTAGGTTGGAGAAGAAGGATCGAAATCAAACGCTTGATAAGCCGATTCGACGAATTGACCGTACCGGAGAATCTCACGCCGGAGATTTTCGTCCAATGGGTCTAAAAGACCATCCCAATTTTGAAGCCCCTGGTACTCCATCCATCTCCGGCCAAGCTTAACCGGGTTATTCGAACCAGAGGGCGAGACTTCGCCGGAAATATGATCTTGGTTTAGTAGCAAACTCTCCCAGGTTTCCGGTTTGGGTAGAACCGGTGGTCGGGAGGTAGAAATTGAAGGAGAAGGAAGAGTAAGTACACATCGACATTGACGATTCGACGTCGTACCATTTATATAAGAAACGACGTCGTGCTTTGGTAGTGAAGGTACTACTAGTACACTATGCGGACGTACGGGAGAAAGAGAGAGTCTCATTGTTGAGAAAGTGTGTTTGTTATTTAACTACTTGTGAAATATTTGATCTGATTAATCAAAGTTTTTTAAGTTGTATATAGAGAATGGAGTTTGTTGAAGATAGATTTGGTGTAAGAAGATGAAGTGAAGAAGAGAGAGAGGAAATGGGTTCCTTTTATAGTGAGGGAAATTGGGATCTATAGTGGAGTTAAAGAGATTGTTGATAATGAAAGGACTCGATTCTTAAAATTGTGGACATTGCTTATATAAGTATATATGAATTTATATCTTAATACCCACACATTGGTACTCGTTTGTGTGTGTGTAGATTTCAAGTAGTTTTCGTGTATGTAAAAGCAATAAATATACCAAATTACAAAGCTAACAATAGATGGGTTTTGTATATTTTATTTAATGAAGAATGAGAGTACAATATTTTACCAAAAAAAAAAAAAGAATGAGAGTACAATCTTTGACAAAGTATATAATATGTGGTACACATAAGCTATGTTTTTTCTTTCTTCCACTTAACTAACATGCACCATAAAGAGAATGTGAAATCAAAATTTGAGATCATGAATGGGTTTTACGTTATGACTTGTTCTTTTTTTTTTTTACATCGCGTTATTACTTTTTTAATGTGAATTATATCAACACTAAAGAAAAAGATTTATTTAACTGAATTGGTGACCAAAAAAAAAAAGAAAAGTAATGTATGATAATGAGATACAAGAGAGCAATGGACGGCTGAGATGATATGAGAAGAGAAAGGAGTGTGTATCGAAATAAATATCGGACCGTCGCTTTCGATGGGACTGAACACGTGGGAGTTCTCCAACAATACGGCTCAGAAAGGCTTTGACACGTGAGGTACTATCACCAGCTCGGCTCGGCTCATATCGGCTGGTTTTGGTACTTTCGGCTTTAGCCATGCGCCGCAATTGCTGCATTTGAATGCTCAAGGAATATAATAAATTAACGCCAAATTAAACATTTAACAATATCAAAAGTTTAATTTTCATAATTAAGATCAATTTTCAAATTTTTATATATGTTATTATAAGGCGACTTAGAATCTAAATATTAAATGTAAGTTTGTAAATGATTATATTCGAATAAGCAGAGAAATATTACAGGTTGAATGAATCCATTTCAGGCCGGACTCATTCGAATAAAGCAGCAAATTAGGTCAAATGTGGTTAGGGTTAGTGTTTTGGAGGAGTATGTTACAATAAAAATTAGAAACATTTTAAGATTTTAAATTGTATCGGATTTCTGAAATTTATATAGAAGTCTAAGGAGTTGTAAAGTTTTTCATCATATTTATAAAAATTATTCGCCTCAACACATCCGGGAGTTTTCGTTTTTTAAAAAAAGATCTCGTTGTTTTTGCCATAATTCACAGATGTACTACACATTCCTTAATCACAAAAAATGGCAAATATTATCAAGATCGTAATCATATCAACTTAAACTTACAAAATCACAGTTGAGTTTATCACAAACAACATCATATTAAGTACACGTTGTTTTGGAAATTACACAACCAAATAAATTTACAAAAAACATCCATTTAATTAACCATATATTTCAATAAACTGAATCAGAGAAACATACTGCAACCATTAGTTTAACGAAAATATATTTCAATAAAAAAAAAATATATATATATTTCAATACACTGAATCAGAGAAAACATATTGCAACCATTAATTTAACTTACTTTCCTATATCGCGGGTTACAGAACAAGTCCAATTAAAAAATTGGAGTGATGTGTTGTTCGGGCAAAACGAGGAATACAAGAAGTGCAACGTGAGTTACTTACTATTTGAAATTCACATCACATGTTTTATTTATACTAGTCTCGTGCTTTTTAATAACCTATAGCCTCTTTTTCATTTACAAAGCCTATTAGAGTCTTAGCTGTTTTGCAATATTTTCTTTATATTGTATTGATAACCATCGTGATTTCTGAAAGACTGTTTTAACTCTATATACTTTTAAGCATATTACATCGTTTCAAATGCATTTCAAATGTTACCCACGTGGGACACTAGTAATAAAAACACTTTTAGATTCTCGATATCCTTACAGATTATATGTCATTTGCAGTAAAAAGGAATTATGTAGACTAGGAACTAACTTGAAGAAAATAGTTTCCATTTACACGATAAAACTTAAATACTAAGGAGGAGGAGATACACATGGAATGCATGGAAAATATCTTCGTTAGGGATACGATCCAAAATGCTTAAACAATTAAAGTGATTTGGTGTTCCAACCGATTGGGAACAAATTTCCTATTTTGTAATAAACAAAAATTGCATGCACCACTTTAGGTCTTTTGGTTATAACACGTACTTTACTTACATTCCCCGATTTAAATTTCATCATTTTGGATATATCAAACCAACGTGACCATTCATATATTTGTGGACACAATACTACACACCACAAAGTCATTAATTAGTTATTTATAATTTTTATTATTTCTTCAATCTTTTATCCGATGGGACTATTTCAATGTCATTTACATTGGCCATTTTCTTCTTTCGGGACCATTTGTCCACGTTGTTACGGAAAAAATTAAAGGGTATTTTTTTTCTATACCAAAAGAAACCTAAGAGGTGAATTTTAAAGGAGGCGAACAGAGATGAATGGAGTGATAGCGATGACAAATACTTTTATCGATGTTGATTTCTTGTAAGCAACTAAACCGACTCTTGTATATTTACGATTTTTAAAGTGAACCGACCAAAGATTGAGAGATCGATGTAGAGAAAAAGTTTAGTTTACGCGGTGAATAAATATATACGTAGCTATTCATTGTTTTAGCAAACATGAATTGGTGATTTTGTTTACAGTTGGTTTTCGTATAGTATAACCAAATCTTTCACCTTAATATATCTATGGTATCTACCATCCAGTAACTCCTACGATAAACTATTGTTATGAATTTCTTATAATTTAAATACGTAAAATATATGTAAATCATTAGGAAGTAGGAAACAAATTTTTTAAATTTAGTAACAATTTAACAAATTCATGGTAGTCTAGTGGTTCAAGATTGATTATTATGATATCTAAAACAATAGCAAGAATATATGGTGTTTCTCATGCTCCATAGTTAGTATGTGAGTTTTCGACTCGGATCCCTCCTATTACCAAAAACTATTTACGAGTAAGTAACAACTTATTTAATTAGGCTGACATTCTTGAGAGACAAGTTAAATTTATATCTATAGTTTATAGTCTTATAATATATAAACAAATTTTAGCTTTCTCTGTAATAAGGTGTAAAAAGATTTAGAACTATCGTTTATGTCATGTCCCCTGTTTGTTAGGCTCGATTCTGTACATTTTATCATATGAATTTACTACGTACATGCGTAATATAACCCAAGTGAATGAATGTATTGTCACTTTGTCAGTAGCTAACAGTGAAGTCTTTCTTAACGAGTGTATTCATTTGTTTGTTAAATAAAATATTAAAATCAACTAAAGCCAGCTAACAGTATCCGGCGCGGCTCGAATAAGTCATAACTACATGTTTATATCCTCGAAATTTTCTTACTTTGTGGTCTGATAAGAATTGAAGTATATTCAAGCCAATACACAAAACTACTCAACACAAGATGCAGATCTTTAAGATAATATCTAAGAGGGAATAAAATATCAAACAATCATCATAACATAAATTGAAATTTTGTGTAATTAATTTAAGGAATAGTGACATTAAGTTTACATGCAAAATGGAATTGTTTGGGATATTTACTTAATTTGGTAATAAAGAAGCTTCTTCTCCCATGTCCCAATTGGCCCCAATAGTTCTCTTGTACTATCTCAAGTTTAAAAAATTTCGAAATTTTTTAATTGTAAATGATTTTTTTGGATTTTACTTTACAAAGTAATAATTGCAGTTTTTGTAAATGGTACAACAATATCTACAACGTCTACTGTTATTGAAATTTCGTGCGTTTGTAAGACTAAGACCTAAACATAAGTTTCTAACAAACTTACATGGTTGAAAGAAAAACAAAATCTGAATTTAGGGCCTCTTTTTTTTTTTAAAACATATTCAGCTTTCTAATCATTACACTTCCCTTATTTCTCAATCATTGATAGTTTGATCTTCAACGAATGAAAATGCATTTACATTCAAAACGAACAATGCCAAGATACTTGCAAGACGTAATTTCAAGTTTTGTAGAAAATCTTTGAACCAAATATCTAAAAATAATTATCATTGAAAAAGTTTCTTCGATGATTTAATAATTAATAGAGTTTTGCCCAAGTAGACACAAGCAACAAAGGTGAATTGTTGAAAAACAAAGTGTCCACTTTCCTCATATTTTTTTTTTCTTGTTGACTATTTTCCTTTTATATATCCTTTCACAGTTTCACCAACCACTTAAATTATTGCCTTTGATTTTTTTTTTTTAATTTTCCTTTATTCCCAATGATTACTTGATTCTTTTTTTTTTCTTTTGTACGTAAGGCCAATTAATTACAAATATTTTTCATTATATGTGAATATATTTTTTAGTAATAAATGCTGATGATATGTTAGTTGATTGATGATGGAAACCAATTCACACTCGCTGATTAAATGCAAGAAAAATATGAAAATGAAGACAACAAGAACACTATTATCCTATGGAAAGTGCGAACTATAAAGGATATAAAATCTGTTCAATATTATTGATATTACAATTTACTTTCCACGGATCCGTATGAGTCCCACATTTGTGAATTTATTAGTTAATCAATAAATAAAAAGAATTGCAATTATATGACCACATCAGTCCACAGAACTGGTCCAAATCCAGCCGTCTTTTGTATCTGACCAAAGTCCATCAATTATCATTCAAATCGTACTTAAATTTTCAATTAGAACTATTTTGTTCTATATAATTAATGTAGCCACCGTCCACTACAAATCAATCTCATAACTCATTACTCAATAATCACCATACAAAGAATTTGAGTGTATTGGTTTCGCGTTGTTTTGAATTTTGTTTTAAGTGATTTATCTATGTTGCGGCAAAAATACAGCAGTTAGGAAAATTAGCAAGAAAATTACTATGCAAAAACCTCTGTTTTGGTGAATCTATAATAATCCAAAATCTTAATACAAACTGTTCAATGCGAAATCTAATATCAAACTTTC